TTGAGTCCATCCACAGAAGAAACTGGTCAGCCTGCGACCCCTTGCAATTCAAACCAATGCTCCAATCAGCTTGTTCCGTATTGAATTGATATTCAGCTGTTTCAGTATAATAGTCATAGTCTCATTAGCTTTTCTGTCTCTTTTTTGAAGATTTCTACCACTAATCTTCTAACAAAAGTGACTGATCCCTTTGTGTTTTCAATTAACTTTATGTATAGCTTGTTAAATCCCTTCCCAGCTCTAATGGGGTCACTGCCCTAGTGTCACCTTATTTTCCAGCAGCCGTGGGTGGTACGGGACCACACACCTCTTTTGCTGTCTTTTCCTTGTTTCCAGCTTAAGTGCTTAAGTAAGGAGAGTGCTGGAGTTGAAAAATATAGCTTAATAAATATAAATGACTTTGTTTCCTGGATCACACATGATACCATGCAACCTTTGCCCCTCTGTGGCAATGTTTCTAGCCCTCCGTTACCATGTACAGTTGATCATAACCACTGTACCAGTTTTATCCATATTGTACTGGGATGCAATTTTGAGCCTTTTGCATCAGATAGAAACAAGATAGGAATTAGGGCCAGAAGTTGGCATCCCTGTCTATGACCGTGTGAAGTTCTGGATTCATCATTTCTGTCTTTCTCTTCCACTCACTGTTTGCACTTCTTCTGTGGTTGGCACTGTTCCCGCAGGTTCAGGCTGCTGTGCCAGTCCATCATTGCTCACAAGCTCTTTGACTACGTGGTCCTGGCCTTCATCTTTCTCAACTGCATCACTGTGGCCTTGGAGAGGCCCAAGATCCACCAGGGAAGCCTGGTAAGAAAGTTTCCCAGTCCCAGATCTAGACCCAAGAGCATAGCCCAGAGATATCTGGCTTCTTAGCTAGGATTGGTCCCCAAGAGTACAGCCTGCCAACTACTCAACACGAGATCAGCCAGCCCACTGGAGTACAGTCTGGTGATCTCATAAAGCTACTCAATCCAAGACCAGTCCCCCCAAGTACAGCCGGGAGATCTCGTCCTGGTTCCCAGTTTGATACTAATCTCCTTGAGTACAGCCTGGAGATCTCATCCGGCTTCCCAATCCAAGATCAACTCCCTTGAGTACAGCCTGGAGATCTCATCTGCCTTCCAAGTCCAAGACTTATCCCCTTGAGTACAGCTTGGAGATCTCATCCAGCTTCCCAATCCAAGAGTAATTCCCTTGAGTACAGCCTGGAGATCTCACCCAGCTTCCCAATCCAAGATCTGTCCCCTTGATTAGAGCCTGGAGATCTCATCCAAGGTTGCCCCTCCAGATTACAGTGTTTGAATTCCATCCTGGTTTCAAATTGAAGATAAGATCCCCGGAGCGCAGCTTCCTAGTCCGGGAGGAGCCCCTATTTCACAGAGATCAAAGCCAGGGTACTTCTTCAGGATTTACACCTGCAGTGATAATTCACATGATTTCTAAACAGTGCCCTGTACATAAATAAACAGTGTACATTAACTGAAGCCAGTTTGAAATGGAAATGCAGACATGTTCGTATTGCAAATGAGTGCCGAGGTCCACAAGTAAAAAACGTGTGTGAGCGAGTGCCTAGTGTGTGAATCGGTTGTGCGGCACAGGAGTAGGTGTGTTCATGGTGGCCTCCAGACAGCAGGCCAAGGTCCCCCATCGCTCCAGACCAGATAGCCTGTAGCCCACCCTGGCCACAAACCAGCCCCTGCTCCTGCAACTTCCTGATGAGCCTTGAAGACAGAGGCAGTGGATTAATTCTGTGTGCTTTCCACAGGAGCGCCTCTTCCTCACCATCTCCAACTACATCTTCACTGCCATCTTTGTGGCTGAGATGACACTCAAGGTAAGGAGGTGATCTGTGTTTGTCCATCCATCTGTCCATGCATCCACCTGTTCTGTCACACTCCCACAAGGGCAGCAGTGCTGGTCATCCCTGGACTATTAGAACCCGCCTGACTGATGCTTCAGGGCTGGGATCAGAGCGGTCATTCTCGGTGCTGAGGGGTGGGCGGGTCAGGGGGCCAGGCGAGAGTCACCCGCTGAGAGCTGGCCCTGTCCTCTGCGTTTGTTGGGCTCGTGGACTGGCCAAGAGTACGCTTTTCAGAGAGCGGAAAATGAATGAGATCTTCTCCCCCCCTGTGCTGGTCAAAGCACGAGCACCGATTTGAGAAACGCCGGCTGCTTCCAAACTCGGATGGTTCCTGAAAACGCACATTGGACGTTGGAGCTGATCTGCCAGTTTCTTCCTCACAGATGAAGCGCCTTGTTGCCCTGTGAATCAGGATGTGGTGCAGGAGAGCTTAGCTTCTGTGACTCCTTCCTGCAGGGCAATTCAACACACTGAGTGGAGTGACACTAGCGGATACAGCCACAAGCAAAACAGGCAGGCCTGTCTGGATCTCCTGCACAACCCTGCATAATGACTTCTGCTCGGAGCCTTTAGCGGAGAAATCCCATCAGCTCCACGGGCTCCTGTGTCCCCTCCTTTTGCAGGAAGTGTCTGTTTCATGCACACACTGTGGAGAGGGGCAGCTGGCCCACAGCTCCGCCCAGAGGGGGAGTGTAATGACCACGGAAGGGCGGAACGGCCAAACGGAGAGCCCAGGCCTGCTAGGCTGACGGGAGGGCGAGAGTGGCGGGCCGCCCTCAGTGCTCGGTGTGTGTGTGTGCTCCTCGCGCAGGTGGTGTCCATGGGGCTGTACTTCGGCGAGCAGGCCTACCTGCGCAGCAGCTGGAACGTCCTGGACGGCTTCCTGGTCTTCGTCTCCCTCGTCGACATCGTGGTCTCCATGGCGGGCGGGGCCAAGATCCTGGGGGTCCTGAGGGTGCTGAGGCTCCTGCGCACCCTGCGCCCCCTCAGGTACGGGGACTTGTGTGTGGCTGTTTGTGGGGCTTCTGCAGGGATGGCACCCCTGAAGCACCGGTGCCGAGACGTGGAAAAGCCCCATAAGGCAAGTGCCATCGATCTCACTACGTACGAGCAGTGAGAGAGGCCTTTCCTTTACTAGATCAAGTGTCAGTAAAGATCAAGTGTCAGTAAATCCCGTGAGGGGATCACGGCAGTGTCCCCTCTAAGCGCACACAGGAAATTGAAAATTAAATTCCCCCAAAAATATGATAATAAGACGAACAGGGTCGTCAATTGAAAAATGCTAAATTGACCACATGAGACTGGCTGCAAGAGGCCCACCTTGGCTCTGTGCATTATTATCGCTACTCGATCATCGATATCTCTGCTCTCGTTGTCTCGTAGCTCCCTGCTGATGCCGGCTCCACGCTCAGTCTCTCTGACTGGGCTCGTTGAGTCGCTGTCCCGGACTGTTGGATCTCTATGTTTCTATGAGGATGACTATATTAACAAAAAATAATTTCAGGTTGACAACTTTACATCCACCCAATTTAGCGTGCACACGTTTTAATCACTGGGAAGAAATGTGTACAACTTGACATTTTTGCGCAGACAGGCCATTAAAAATTAAAGGGAACATTGGATGATGGGCAGGTGTATAAATAATGGCAACCTGCCCATGATCTGGTACTGGAGTACTCCTGTGCCTTTTGGGCTCTGCTCCAGCTGCGCTTGTTTAATTAAGCTTCCTGAAACCTTACTGAACAGCTGTCTGGTTATAACGTTGTACTTTTTCCTCTGAGGTTTTTTTTTAGTAGTGCAGTTAGTTAGAAAATCACGGCAACAACACTGTAACACTGTAACTCCTCAGTCATGCAACTTTTCTCTTCCTTGATCAAGTTGCTTTGATCTCACTGGGTCTCCATACAGTATGGAGCATGGAGTCCTGACTGCTGTCTGTATGTCTGTGTGCGGCAGGGTCATCAGCCGAGCCCCGGGTTTGAAACTGGTGGTGGAGACGCTGATCTCCTCCCTGAAGCCCATCGGGAACATCGTGCTCATCTGCTGTGCCTTCTTCATCATCTTCGGGATTTTGGGTGTGCAGGTACTGTGGTCTGTCTCTGTTTTAAGGGGCACACGGCTGTCTTGTGTAATCATGTGCTTCCAGACCCATTTCCATGTCTGTTGTGTTTCCCACAATTGTAGATGCCGATCTGAAAGCTTTAGAGACATGCAAATAGTCCATAAAAAAGTGTGCGTGTCACTTGTTCTCTCCATTAGTTTACTGATCTCCCCGCTATCTGATCTCCACATTCTCACTGTTGTTTCACAGAGTTTTGTAAAAGTGTTTGCTTTGTGCTCTGTATCACTCTTCCCTCTGTCAATCTCCAACCCCCATAGCTCTTCAAAGGGAAGTTTTTCTACTGCCTGGGCCCGGACATCAAGAACATCACCAACAAGTCCGACTGCCTCCTGGCCAATTACAAGTGGGTCCACCACAAGTACAACTTCGACAACTTGGGTCAGGTGAGTCATCGCACAGCACTGCGGCACGAGCCCCAGGCAAGCCAGTCTCTGTGTCAGCGTTACTGATGCGGAGCTGTTTCTATAAAAATACAAGCTCTTTTTAGATCTTCCATTTCGAGATCAGTTCTCCGAGCCTGATCCCTGGGACACACATGTCTGTCAGGAGAAACGGCAGCATGGCTCCTGCCAGCTAACTGAGCCCTTAATTAAGCCTATTTTTTAAAATCTCATCTTATTCATTTTTTTTTTCTGGTTATCAGTTTCTGGTTTCAGAAATCTGCTGCTTCGGGTATATAATTGCCAAGATATTTACAAAAAAAAATGTTCACTTTGTCCTCAATAATGTGCATACAATGTACATGTGATTAAACATCTCATGATAGGTTGTGAACTGCGCTTTTGTGATGCTGTGCTTTGAAGGAGAGCTCCTGCAGCGATACAGTCCACTGTTGCAGTGAATCTATGCCCTCCTGCAGTGATATGCATACTGTGATTTACAGCAACCCGTGTTCATGCAGACACTGTGAAGCTACTTTTACAAAGTTATCATAGTTGATAAATTATGAGCGTAGTGAGGAATTTCATAGTGCGGTCTGATTATTGGAGAGCACAGAGAAAATAAAGCCATGCATAGTGGTGAACAACGTAGAGCATGTTAGAGACACTGGTCAGACATTGTGCTCCAGCTGTTTGTACTGTATGTCTATAAGTCCTT